CCCCCCCCCAAAAAAAAAAAAAAACGCATTCCAAAAAACCTGAAAAAAATATATGTTATGCAGAAGACTAAACTAAACAACGTTTGCCTCAACGTTACATCCAAATTCTTTACCAAATTTGAAATAAAAATCAAATACTAAAAACAAATAATAATAACAGAAAAAACAAAACGAGAATGAAATTATTGAGTGGGCGAGCACGTTTTTGACACCGCCATCTTTGGCAATTTTTCATTTTTTTTGGCTGTGACAAATTCCATGAAAATTTATACGTGTGTATCTTACATCATAGAGACTCTACAAATAAAGTTTGAAAAAATAACATTCTTTTTCATGCCCCGAAATAAAGGAAAAACAAAAAGTGAAAAGAGAGAAAAAACAAACTAGTGAGTGGGCAAGCAAGTTTTGACACCACCATCTTGGCCGATTTTTCATTGTTTTTTGGCTGAGCAGAATGGCTTCAAAATTTAGAGGGAGATACCATACCTCACAGAGAACTCACAAAAATAAATTCAGGAAAAGATAATAATACTTCGGTGCCAAAATATTTTTTTTGTGGGGTCCGGGCCCCGTACGGGGACCCAAACGCCCGAACGTTCGGGAGCATGGTCCATGGTCCCACTAGCAACGGGATAGGATAGAAACATATTTGTGGGACAGTTGAGTGACCCAAATCCTGCCGTGCAGTACTCGTGATCCCACGGTCGTCTTTGTTCCCCTCCTCCTCTCCTTAACACTGGGTATGCCCATGCAAAGAAAGCTTCCTGCCAGAATCTTTTCAATCGGTTGGGGGTGTGGCCAACCCCAAAAGAGGGTGGGGTCGGCCATAGGCCCACTGGATAGAAGATTTTCAGTATTTTACTTGTTGTTGTGCAGTTATCTCATTGGGTGGAGCCGTCCTTCAATCATGAAGTATACGGAGGGTGTCAGGATCAATGCTGATATCACTGCTGTTCGGTCCAAGTTGCCTACCCAATGGTAGGGCAACGGCCCTGAGTGCTGGTCACACTGAGGTAGGATAGTGGGATAGGGGGTGTGCTAGGAGTATTGATGTGAGGATGGGATGGGAGGTTGTCTCATTTTCCTGGACACCCGTGGTTCACAACTCCGAGTGATTACTGTGCACTCAGTGACTGGACTCTACAACACCTTGGACTTCAAACAAAAAAAAAAAAAAAGTATCACTGCTGACAGAAGTTGAGTTTATTCCAGAAAAAAAGTGGCAGTTACTTGTTCACTGTTGTTGCAACCACCACCATCAGATCACGGCTGGGAAGCACTCTGCCGTGACTTCCGGTGGCAGGTCTCTGTTTTTTTGTTTTTTTTTTGCCTTTCTCCTGTTTTCTCAGCCCAGAAATTCTTAATGAACCTGTCAGCCAGCTGCCACTCAGTGTCACACTGGATAGACCACACTCCTATCCTACTGCTAATGGGACCATGCTCCGGGGGTCAGCTTAGGGGCCTCCGTACGTTCCGCCTGGCAACCCTGTATATATATATATCGTCACAAACAGAACTGCCCGGTAAAACCGTAGGCAGAGAGAGAGAAGAGGACAACAAACGAGGGGCTGTGACATATATATATATATATCGTCAAATAGAACTGCCCGGTAAACCGTAGGCAGAGAGGGAGA